AGTCCTCCAGTATAGTAGCCAGCTGTACTACACTCATACACTCATGAATATTATACGACTTTTCATCACAAAATTCAACAAACTGTTTCCATACACTTGATTTTGATTTTCGGGTGTTATCTGGTTTTATATTTTCAATTTCTTCTTTAATGACTTGTTGGTTTACTTTTCCAAATCGCGACATTTCGCTATACACTTCTTACTCTACGTACAGACGTTTTAAAACTAGTAATAGCTTAATGACAGAATCGCAAACAAAATGACAAAACACATAATATGTCAAAACATCAATACCTTGGCCAACTTAACAAATTGAAATTATTTTAAAATGTCATGCATTAATATTTTTTTTTTGAAATTTAGGTGTGAAATTTTTCTTACCGAATACCACGCAAGCTTAAATTATTCCTGGAAATTTTCTTTCGGGCACGAATATTTTAGGAAAATTATCCCTCGTCTTCGACTCGGGATAATTTTCAAAATATTCGTGCCCTCAAAAAAATTTCCGAAAATAATTTAAGCTCTTGTGATATTATAAGTGAGAAAATCGAAATAAAAATGAAACTGCTACATCGTGTAGCTCCAAAACTAATCATTTTAGGACATAATTTATACGAACCTTTCTTATTTTTATCTTGCTCTCTTAATCTTACTTATTTTTATCTTCTCAGTTCGGTTATAGAAAAGCTATACAAGGTGATAGCTTTTCTATAACCCTTTTTATATTTAGACTTAAGATTAATTCTTTCTTAAACAATTAAGCTAGTTGGTCCCATCATTTTCTTTCATATTTTTAAAAAAATGCGTTATAAATACTCAACTCCCATATGATAAAAAAACGACGTCAGAGTTGGCTTCGAAATTAAGATCGCTTTCATTTGATATGTAAAATTATATAGGCGAATTCTACGGTCATTTCCATAGAGTTAAAGTCATTTCCAAGCCAACTTGACTTCGTTTTTATTTCGATTATACTGTATTTATTCAACTATATGCAAATACTAAAAATAAATATAGAATGAATAAAATAAACTAAATGATATATAAAAAACCGGTCCATTCATCGCAGTCAACATATGTCACTTATGTTTGCAAATTTACCAAGGTTTTAAAAGCCTAGCTATTCAAATAATGAGCGCATTGTTTCAGGAATATGAAAATTTATTCAAATCTGAGCGATTTTATTATTTTAGAAAAAAAAGGCGTGTGATTTACCGCCGAGGTTGAATGATTTCGCGGATGGAATTTTGATTCGCCGACAGATGCGAAATTAATATTAAAATATCTAAAAAAAAGTTCGCTATGAGTCAGAAATAATACAAAAGAGACGCATTAATATGCACATAATTAGGTTCATTGAATTAGGCTACGTCTAATATAGTTTTTTTAAGAAAATCTGTACTCTGAGTTTGTGAAATTATTTTCAGTTTTGAAAAGTACTGATTTTTACAAAAATGTAATTTTCTTCTAATTTATAAAAATTCTGGTGTCACAGTTTTAGTTACCGTACTCCTCCAAAACGGCTTAACCGATTTTGATGACTTCAATCTGTTGAAATGAAATGTCCGGCATCCATCAAAGGTATGTTCCGATCACCATGACAACCGTTTACTGTGTTACTCGGTGCGGCCTACTATCTACTAAGTTGATATTTTAAGAAAAATTTGAAATGTTGAAGTTAATAGTGAAAATAAATATAGAGTGTTATATATTTTCGAGAAGCCCATGCCAAGCTCAATAAGAAAATTTAAAAATATACAGGGGGTTCTATTTAAAAAAACATAAATATAGTTAATATCTCAAAAAATATCTTTTTCGAAAAAAGTCTGACTACGCCACTGCATTCTACACGGAAAAGTGCCTTTAGAATGCATAATTCATTTTTCCGTGGTTGCTGAAATAAACAAACTATCGAACATCTTCAAAAAGTACAAAATTTGAGAATCCCCCTGTAGCTTCGAAACCGATCAAGATAGCCACGATCCGTTTGCGCCATTGTAATTTTTTCAAAAAAAGAACCCGAGACTGCAGTATCAAAATTTGAATATTTCTCACGGTTTCCTAGATACCCTATAGAAACAACCAAAATGGTCCACCCTGTATATTTCACATCAATTATACTCTTAGTTACGTAATCGAGGGCGCGATTTTTAAATTCATTGTTGGCAACCCTGGACATATTTGGCACATATAATGGACACATATTTATCCTCCATGACATCTAAGTAAGTACCAATATAAACGAAAGTACTCCGCTATGTGGATGGTGTTTTAGATAAAATGCGTGATGGATTTCTCCTTCAATCCTTGCAGCTCCGCAGAAGGGTTATGGGTCCGTGAATTAATTATAAGTTCACTAAAAATACTACTTGTAAAACAGTCAGTCAAGTATTCAATTAACAACAAATCTCCAAACCAAGGTTATGTTAATACGAGTAGATAGGATATAATGTACGGAAATAGCATAGTTTTTCATCACTATATTTTTTACTGCAACTTATAAGGTACTAAAGAACCACGAACCTGTTCTAAAAGGCAACAATCTTAAGATTCTCTACATCTGATAATTACATCAAACAACATTAGCGAGTATACTCAATGAAATTTGTTAGATAATTAGACGACCTTGGTTAAACATTCCTGGTATAATCTTAGGAATACAAGATATTGTTTAATGTTTTCAAATAGCTACTTATCATACTGAACAATTCGAAGATTGTTGTTACTTAAATCAAGGAAAATCTTTAATTTTTCTCGGCCCTAAGTCCTGGGAAATTTCTTCGAGTATCTTAGACCGTTGGAGGATTCCCATTCCAGGTTACGGATGGAGTTTTCCATGTTTTTGAGTTCTGTTTTAAGTTAGTTTCCACTTGGGAAGCAGAACGGTTCTGGTCCAGTTAGTGGAGTGTTCGCTCCATTTCTAGCTAGACCGTTGGTGTAATGCGGGTACATAAAACTATTGTACAACACTTTTTTTAAAGACAAAATAGATATGGCCAAAAAATAGAGTACACTTTTTAAGGAATTCTTCTTCTTCTTCTTCTTTCTCAGCCTGGTTCTATCCGGTGTTGGATATAGGCCTCTTCTAGGTTTTTCCATGCTTCGCGATCTCTAGCCAATCTTATCCATTGTCTTCCCGCCACTGCCCTGACGTCATCGACCCATCTCTTTTTTGGTCGGCCCACACTTCTTGTTGTTCCCCTAGGTCTCCATAGAATGACTTTTTGGGGCCATCGGTCTGAATCCTGTCTTGCCACATGTCCTATCCATTGCCACTCTTTTAACAACATCTATTAGTTTTGTTTTTTGACGTATGTGGGTATGTGGGTGTTCCGTATTTTTTCGCTAATGGTGACTCCCAACATGATTCTTTCCATGGATCGTTGTTGTTCTGCTGTTTTTTCGGGCAATTGCCATAGTCTCTAAGCCATACGTAAACACAGGTAGAATGCAGCTGTCGTAAACATTTTGCTTTAAGTTCATGGGCACCTTTTTATCCTTGAAAATATCGCTCATATTTCCAAATCCCATGCCAAACGAATCCTGCGTTTGATCTCCGTATTTTGGTTCTCTTTACCCAGCTTGATTTTATGACCGAAATAGTATATATTATAATGGTCTACGTTTTCAATAACAACGTTGTTTACGGTAATGTTATGGATATTGTTGCTCATTATCTTGGTCTTCTACAAGTTCATTTTAAGGCTAATTTTCTGGGATTGGTCATTTAGCTCCTTTAGCATGGTGTTCAGTTCTTGAATGTCGGTGCTCAGCAAGACAATATCGTCTGCGAACCTAAGATGGCTAAGGTTTCCCCTATGGATGTTTAGACCTCTATTTTCCCATTCTAATTTCAAAAAAAGACATTTTCCAGTACCAGTGTAAATAACTTGAGAGAGATGGTATCTCCTTGTTTCACGCCTTTAAGGAATTAATCGATAATAAATCCAAATTTTATATAAATATATAAACTTCCTACAAAAAGGCGTCAGTCAAAACAAGAAACTAGCGAAGACAACAAATTTAAATTAAGACTGAGCAGATACTGAAGTAAAGGCACTAAGACTATATAGTTTTTTATCGTATAACTAAAAATGTTTGAACCGGAATTCTACCAAATTGATACTCAAAGTTTGAAATAATTAATATTATTTCAAACGTTGATGCTTTGAACATAAAAAAATATATTAATGATATAAAAAATTGACAGTGCGCGTCTCTGCTTAGAAAAATCGAACATTACATGAAGCATTATGTTAATATTTATCATCTCTGTTTAAAATAACGTATTTTATAGCAGTTTGTTACGCACAGGATATAAAAGACAATTAATTATTAATTATTTTCCACGACCTTGGACCAAAACTAAAATTGTATTTAATCATTAATAGCTAAAATTTAATTTCATTACATACAATAACCGTTGATTTATTCATTTATTCGGCGAACACATCGTGATTTATTGTTACAAATTCTGATAGTCTATTATCTCTGTTATGTAATGTCAGATGTGTATTATTGTGTTTCATAATATTTATTGTATTAAGACATCAACTAAAGCTTTTCAGTTAGTTTAGACTAAGTTAACACAATATGTAGGTTGAATTTCACCTTATCAACCTGTCCTTAATTTTACAGGTGATATATGTATTTTGCAAATAACCATGTAACGATTTTTATTATAATATAATAAAATTTAATAAAAACGGTATATATAAGTTGGTTCAGAACGTTCTACGACGTTTTCAGACACCTAACCTCCACTCTTCTCTATTTAGCCAGAGATCATCAGGTATTTCTCTATTTTCTAGTTCTTTATCCACACCCTCCCTCCAGCTTCGTCGCGGCCTTCCCCTTTTATTTCTGCCACGAGGTGTCCACAGTAAAATTTGTTTTGGTATTCTGTGATCGGGCATTCGTTGCACATGACCAAACTATATGAGTTGTTTTGTTCTTATGTCGTCCACAATTGTGTGTTCTGCTCCCATAATCTCTCTTACTCTGTCGTTGGTTATTTGTGCTCTTTTCGATTTTCCAGCAGATCTCCTCCAGTAATCCATTTCGGTCGCTAATAACATGTTCTCTGTTCTGCTTTTCAACTGCCATACTTCGCTTCCGTAAGTTATTATGCTTTTCACTACCGTATTATATATGTTCTTCTTATTAGCTTTAGAGATTCCTTCGTCCCACAATACACCATTCAACATAGATATTGCCCTCCTGCCTTGCATTATTCGATCTTTTATACCCTCATCGAGTTTTCCATCGTTAGTTATTTTTAATCCAAGATATTTATATTTGTCACAGTTTTTTATCACGCTTCCATCCTCTAAGACTATGTTCTCTTGTGGCCCCCCTACAGTCATACATTCAGTTTTGGTGATATTTACCTCCAACTCCCATTTCTTATACTCCTCATCAGCTTCCTTGCCATATATTCAAGGTCGTCGTGATCTTGGGCTAGGACTATCTGGTAAATAATAATAAAAACGGTACCTTTCTTTAAATGAATCACAGTAGGTATATTTTCTGAATTTTTACCCATCGTAATCAGTAAATAATCATCAATAATAGATGAAAAAATGTAAGAACTATATACTTATAAAAACACTATTAAATTTAAAAAGACACAAAAATAATATGCTAATGATTTTACCGAATGATATAATTATAATTAATCATTTAAATTATTATTAAAATTTATATTTTTCAACATTATAATACATTATTTAAACAGAATATACTTATATAACACATGAAGCTATTACGTTTAAATTGATAACTGTAATTTATTAATTTCAGGATATACAGGGTTAGTGTTAAATAACGGCAAATATTTTTAGGTGTAGTATATTTCAACCTCAGAATCACATTTTTTGAAAATTGGGAATTTTTTGAAAAAAAATTTCGAAATGTTTGTTGTTTTTAGTTAAAAACATTAGAAAAGATCTAGTAATTCGCAAAATTTAAGCAAAAAATCCTTTTTTTGGATAATTAAAGTAATGTTTTGTTTATCGAGATCTACCAGCCCTAGAAATATTTGCACTTATTTAAGACTCACCCTGTATAGTATGTATAGATAATGATATACGTGTAATATAATCATAAAAAAATATTAGAGTTTAGAATTTCAGATTTTTTTTTAATTAATAAAACATAATATTGATTATTATTATCGTATTTGTTACCCTAATTATTAAGACTGGTATTATTAGGAAAACATTTACCATTTAATATTCAATAATAAATCAAAAGTAATTAATATTATAAGTTCATATATTTATAAGTACGTGTGTAAAAAAATATAGCATCGATTAAATCACATGGTTTAAGTAGGTGGTCATTAAAGCTAAATTTTACTCAAAAGTTAAGTGCTATCGATGTAAGTATTTAATTACAAAGTTGTTAACAGTTTTTTTTTGTTGATATTCCACTCTAAATTTATACAAATTTTTGCCTTTTAGATAATGATAAACGACAATCATTAATATTACAACATGTGAATTAAATATTAAATATATTATTATTATATTAATATGTGAATGAAAATTAGATATTAAAATAGTTAAGTCAGTCGCAGTGGCGCATCTAGAGATTGAGTCTGGGAAGGGTAGTGTGAATATTCAAAAAAGTACTAAATTTGAATTAAATTTTTGCTGGAAGGTATTGTAACTGTGGAAAAAATCTACTTGGATTGGTTTGGATATTCTGTTTTAATTTGTATTATTAACTTTTTTGTAACAATTTTATTTTATACCAAATTTTATCTTATTAATTAATTTCTTTCTGGGAGGGGTAATTGTATAGGGCTCGTTTCTCTCTACAATTTCCTGTCTCACAATGTACCGTTTGTGTCCGGGAAAGGGATCATAGTTTCATCGTTGTTGATTTTCGAAAGAATATTATTTCGTATATTTCGATGTATATTATTTCGTATATTTTTCATTTTATTAATTTTATGGAAAGCACTCTTCATTAAAATGTTGTATCCTATGTTATAGGGCTTGTTTCTCTCTACAATTTCCTGTCTCACAATGTACCGTTTGTGTCCGGGAAAGGATCATAGTTTCATCGTCGATTTTCGAAAGAAATCAGTACATGTATATTATTTCGTATATTTTTCATTTTATTGATTTTATGGAAAGCACTGTTCATTAAAATGTTGTATCCTACGTTATATGGCTTGTTTCTCTCTACAATTTCCTGTTTCACAATGTACCGTTTGTGTCGGGGAAGGGATCATAGTTTCATAGTTGTCGATTTTCGAAAGAAATCAGTACATGTATATTATTTCGTATATTTTTCATTTTATTGATTTTATGGAAAGCACTGTTCATTAAAATGTTGTATCCTATGTTATAGGGCTCGTTTCTCTCTACAATTTCCTGTCTCACAATGTACCGTTTGTGTCCGGGAAGGGATCATAGTTTCATCGTTGTCGATTTTCGAAAGAAATCAGTTCATGTATATTATTTCGTATATTTTTCATTTTATTGATTTTATGGAAAGAACTGTTCATTAAAATGTTGTATCCTACGTTATAGGGCTTGTTTCTCTCTACAATTTCCTGTTTAACAATGTACCGTTTGTGTCGGGGAAGGGATCATAGTTTCATCGTTGTCGATTTTCGAAAGAAATCAGTACATGTATATTATTTCGTATATTTTTCATTTTACTGATTTTATGGAAAGCACTGTTCATTAAAATGTTGTATCCTACGTTATAGGGCTTGTTTCTCTCTACAATTTCCTGTTTCACAATGTACCGTTTGTGTCGGAGAAGGGATCATAGTTTCATAGTTGTCGATTTTCGAAAGAAATCAGTACATGTATATTATTTCGTATATTTTTCATTTTATTGATTTTATGGAAAGAACTGTTCATTAAAATGTTGTATCCTACGTCATAGGGCTTGTTTCTCTCTACAATTTCCTGTTTCACAATGTACCGTTTGTGTCGGGGAAGGGATCATAGTTTCATCGTTGTCGATTTTCGAAAGAAATCAGTACATGTTTATTATTTCGTATATTTTTCATTTTATTGATTTTATGGAAAGCACTGTTCATTAAAATGTTCTATCCTATGTTATAGGGCTTGTTTCTCTCTACAATTTCCTGTCTCACAATGTACCGTTTGTGTCCGGGAAGGGTTCATAGTTTCATAGTTTCATAGTTGTCGATTTTCGAAAGTAATAATTAAAATAAATTAATTTCTTTCTGGGAGCGGTAATTACCCCCATTACCCCTACCGTATATGCGCCCCTGTTTCAGTGGGTATTGAAAATAAAATTTATTGATGGAATATTAAGAATGAAACCTGCAATTATTACAGTGCTGGTGATATTGTGACGTTTTTTTTTATCAATATTGTGTATTCAGCATTTTTAAGTTGTGTATGTTTACACTCTACCGAATGTTTACACGTGATTATTTTATGTTTACATTCCCATCTATATTAATGGCAAATCTGACATACTTTTATCACACCTTACCATAACTTTTATTATTATGTATTGATTATTGATATTATTCATGAACAGTATCGAGCATAGATATAGCGAATACCCACAATTTTTAAAACTTTTTATTAGGAGTTTTGCTGTAAAATAACACTGCTATTTTGCTTCTTTAATTTATATGTGTTATTTTTTAAATAGGAAAACAGGGAGACGGAATATCCCCAAAGCTGTTTACAACAACACTAGAAGAAATCTTCCGTCAACTGCACTGCACCAACAAAGGATTAAAAACAGATGGAGAATATCTTAACCATTTAAGATTCGCTGATGACATAGTCCTAATTGCCAATAATCCTGAAGAACTACTAACACAAATTAACGGACTAAATACAGCCAGCAATAAGGTAGGTCTCAAAACGAATTTATCAAAAACTAAAGTAATATACAACGAACTAGTAGACAGAAAAAACATCAAAATAAAAACACTAAATCACCACAATACACCAAAACACTTTTACTTTTACACTGGACGCGCGTTTCGCTAACCATGTTAGCATCATCAGCAGATGATTATAAACGTTGACAATCTACAAGTTGAGCGTTTATATACTCGCCCAGTGGGCACCGAGTGGGCGTGGCAAAATCTAGCCAACCGAGTCAGAGCCCACTGAGCGTAACAGTTAGATTTCCGCCACTAGAGTAGTAGGAACAAAGAACTTAAAGGAATTGGACCGTTGTCTCTGTTCATGTTATCTTTACATTTATTAATTCTGCTGCTTTCATATGCATCTAATTGCCTGTAATTTGAGACTTGTTTAATTAATTTTAAATTATTAAGATCTATACAATGTTCTTTATCAACAATATGTTCGGCAACGCAAGATTTATCCGGTCTACCGTATCTTATCTGAGCTAAATGTTCTTTAAATCTAGTTAATATTGATCTTCTAGTTTGCCCAACATATTTCTGATTACAATCTTTACAAGAAATTTCATAAATACCCGACCTTTCCAGTGGAGGGGTGATTACAACAATTATTATAGGTCAAAAACGACAAAGGATAAAACAGCTCGGGATCTCTACTGCGTATTCAAGCACTGAAAGTCTGTTTTATAGTATGTATCAAAAGAATGTCAAAATTCCCATTAACGGAAATCTCGTTCAGTAATAATATTTATGTTATTTAATTAATATAATAAGGTGGGCCCGGTTGCGCAGAGGTACAGGCTCTCGTCTACCAATCTGAAGGTAGTGGGTTCGAATCCCACACCCGGCATTTCATCAGCCGACTATTTTTATTAAAATAAAAATAGTTTGGGTACCTAGGTCGACTCAGCCTTAAATGAGTACTTGGGATTCACAATCCTGAGGTAATAATAGGCGGTTGAAGCGTAGAGAGACCACATTACCTTCCTTGTATACCGAACGGCTCTAGCATTGGCAAGCTGTACCTTGCTACTCCCAAGGCGTTAAACGCTATATACGGGAGCTATTATTATATAATTAATATAATATGTACGGGTGTTTATGTTTTGCTAATAAGTATAAAATTTCTAATACATACTCGCATGGTTTTTATTTCAAATACTACACATTTTTTCTTTGTTCTGTGTTTGTTGCTTTTGTCTGTTTAATCTTTTATCTAAACTTTTTTGTTTTAAACCATGTTTGCAAAACTATTTTCTCATAAATTTTATAGCAAATCAATTTCATACAATGGGAAAAACTGATATAAAATTTAATACACTCAAACATATTTTTAATGCCAGATTTGTAAAAAATAGATACATCATGTTTATAACAAAAAATAAAATTTGCAGATATTGATAATACAATCACAACAAATATCTTATATTTTTATGAAAGAATTTGATTATTAATTAATTTACCCTGTAAAAATAAATATTTTATTCTAAATTAAATATGTATATTCAAACTATTTCTTCAATTCTTTCATGTAAAAAACTGTAGTTTTGCATTTTATTACAGTTTCTATTTTTCTCTATTTCCTATTTTATAGATTTTCCAGCAGGAAAACTCATATTAGCAATGTTATGTGTCAGGTTACGAAATCGATACGGAGATAACGACAGAATTTAGTCCATTTACGACTATATCACACGAACATTTACTGTATTAAATAATATATTCTAGCTAGGTATATAAATCACAAGAGTGCTTAGCTCTGCTTTAAATGGGTATATAAGTTTATTAATATTTATTAATTTATCTAGAAATAAAGTAATTATTCACTCAAGAATTTATAATAGTTCATCAGAAATCAAATTTTTAATATTATTATTAGATTACAGTTGAGGGTTGGAACCTTTGGTGTTACACAGCAAAATAAAATTACACTAAATCACCACAATACACCAAAACACTTTTACTTTTACACTGGACGCGCGTTTCGCTAACCATGTTAGCATCATCAGCAGATGATTATAAACTAATGTCCAATCTACAAGTTGAGCGTTTATATACTCGCCCAGTAGGTACCGAGTGGGCGTGGCAAAATCTAGCCAACCGAGTCAGAGCCCACTGAGCGTAACAGTTAATTTCCGCCACTAGAGTAGTAGGAACAAAGAACTTGAAGGGATTGGACCGTTGACTCTGTTCATACTCTCTTTACATTTATTAATTCTGATGCTTTCATATGCATCTAATTGCCTGTAATTTGAGACTTGTTTAATTAATTTTAAATTATTAAGATCTATACAATGTTCTTTATCAACAATATGTTCGGCAACGCAAGATTTATCCGGTCTACCATATCTTATCTGAGCTAAATGATTTTTAAATCTAGTTAATATTGATCTTCTAGTTTTTCCCAACATATTTCTGATTACAATCTTTACAAGAAATTTCATAAATACCTGAAAGAAAGACGAATAAAAAAAAGAAATACTAATAATTGCCTGGAATTTGATATCTATAGGAAAAATACCACCACACGCAGATATATTCCTAATGAATCACATCATAGTGCTGAACATAAAATGGCTAGTTTAAATTTCTTAGTTCATAGGTTACTTAGTTTCCCACTTTCCAACGAAAGATATGAAATAGAAAGAGATTACATTGGGAATGTAGTTGAGTGTAACGGATATTCTCCTTCGCTAGTTGATAAATTAATTAGAAAATGTAGGTATAGGTTAATGATTTCTGAAAATTCGACTTTTCAAGTGGAGAAAGATACGTCTAAATATTTTTCAATACCGTTTGATAGAGAGTTATCCCGTGGTCTAAAAGGAATTTTTAAGAATGTCAATTATAAACTTGTGTATAGTGCTAATAATAAATTACAACCATTAATAAGGTAATCCAAAGGATAAAACACCTCCACTGGAAAGGTCAGGTATTTATGAAATTTCTTGTAAAGATTGTAATCAGAAATATGTTGGGCGAACTAGAAGATCAATATTAACTAGATTTAAAGAACATTTAGCTCAGATAAGATATGGTAGACCGAATAAATCTTGCGTTGCCGAACATATTGTTGATAAAGAACATTGTATAGATCTTAATAATTTAAAACTAATTAAACAAGTCTCAAATTACAGACAATTAGATGCATATAAAAGCATCAGAATTAATAAATGTAAAGATAGTATGAACAGAGTCAACGGTCCAATTCCTTCAAGTTCTTTGTTCTTACTACTCTAGTGGCGGAAATTAACTGTTACGCTCAGTGGGCTCTGACTCGGTTGGCTAGATTTTGCCACGCCCACTCGGTACCTACTGGGCGAGTATATAAACGCTCAACTTGTAGATTGTACTTTAGTTTATAATCATCTGCTGATGATGCTAACATGGTTAGCGAAACGTGCGTCCAGTGTAAAAGTAAAAGTGTTTTGGTGTATTGTGGTGATTTAGTGTAATTTTATTTTGCTTATTATTAGATTATAAACTAAAAATGCAGAAAATATTATTAGATACATTATTCGCCGCTTTCTTGACCAAATCAATGCAAAATATACCTTAAAATTTCATGTTTCAACTATATAGCTATCTGATTTTCCAATTTATACAAAGAAGCGAAAGCAAGAGTATATAATGATACATAACACAACCCCAGAATTCCAAGCTGGCAATGGAATGCGACACGGAGGTGCAATATCCCCAAAACTCTTTACAGCAACACTAGACGAAATCTTCCGTCAACTAGACTGGACCAACAAAGAATTTGAAAATAGAAGGAGAATATCTTGACCATCTAAGATTCGCTAATGACATAGTAATTGCCAATAGTCCTAAAGAACTACAAATATCAGTCAAAGAACTAAATACAACCAGTAATAAAGTAGGTGTCAAAAAAAAATCAGTAAAAGATCAAGTAATGTTCAACGAACTGGTGGACAGAAAAGTCTCAATTAACAACTAATACACAGCTAAGAATCCCTATTTTAATGTAATTATATAATAATAAATCAAATCAAGAAATTATGGCAAAATTATTAATAGTAAGAACATCTCTAGAAATTTAAAAATCAGAATATACCAAGCAATGATAGATACGACCAATAGTGCTGTATGCATGTGAAACGTGGACGTTCAATGCAACGGAAAGTTCAAGGCTAGAAATTTGGGAAAGAAAAATTCTGAGGAAGATTTTTGTAGGCAAGAAGACTACATATGGACCAGAAGAACAAATAATGAAGAATTAAAGCAACTATATCGGGCACCGAGTATAACGGGAGTAGCAAGAGCACAAAAACTGAGATGGCTGGGACACATTGAAAGAATTATGAAGCAAGAATTCCTAGTATGATAATGAAACGTGAAATAGGTGGAAAGAGAAGGAGGGGTAGACCGAGAACCAGATGAAAAAAGGAGGTAGAAGAGGACTTGAGGAGGATAAGAGTGGATGGGTAGAGAATAAAGGCGAAAGACAGGAACAAATGGAGAAAGATAACCAATCAAGCCATGATCCTTTTATGCTTTTAGGTATATTATATATAATAATAAATAAAAATGTAATATACTATAATAGGACGTTGGCATCATTATATATATATATATATATATATATATATATATATATATATATATATATATATATATATATATATATATATATATATATATATATATATACAAAATGAACTGGCGTTGCTCACGAAATAACTAACCTACACAATTACCACCGAGAGTTATAATTAACAAAATAATGAATCAGATATCTTTATAGTTACCATAAAGGAAGTAACTGATTATGATTAACATATAAATGAATTTACTATGACTTATATAATAAACAATAGGACATTATTGATATGTTTTTATAGTAATATTACCCACCAAAAATTATTTCGATTTTTTAAAGGTAGTTCAAGTAGACCTGCTTTACTCTTTATTGCTAGATCGTCATGATCATTAATTAATTATTATCCGTTAGGTATA